AATAGAGAACAAAGAAAATGGTAAACACGTGGGTAAATATAAACAAACATAGACTGTATAAAATATTACAATAATGTTCTAATTTGTGGGATTTTAAAAAAGGGATAAGCGTTACCTAGAATAGTGTTTGCCACCCTGGTACATGACAACATATTTGATAAAAATGTGTTGGATTAATGTCTTAATTCAGAAGAAAATCAGGGAGAAGTGGAAGGAGTTTAAGAATACATAAATACTTTCACATAAATAAAGAACATTAAGCAAGATACAAAAAATAAAGGGTAGAAATAAACGTTAAACAAAAGCAGCACTTAAGTGTGGAAGATGGTGATGAGAAAGTGTTCTAAGTTTCCTTGTGTCATCAGGGAGTAAGAATAAGCTTTTCTACTAACTTTAGACTAAGTACATGTGTAAAATTTGACAGGTAACCATGAGAAGAAAAGATATGGAATGTACACCTTCAAAGTGAGCAGGGGGAGAAAATGCAAGAATGACAATCTAAACTCATAATCAGTGAAAAACAAGAGCAATAAAGGAGGAAAAAAAAGCAAAGAATGGGGCCAGCCTGCTGGTGTAGTGGTTAAATTCATGTGCTCCACTTCAGCAGCCCGGGGTTAGCAGGTTTGGATCCTGGGTGTGGACCTATGCACTGCTTATCAAGCCATGCTGTGGCAGGTGTCCCACATATAAAATAGAGTAAGATGGGCATAGATGTTAGCTCAGGGCCAATCTTCCTCAGCAAAAAGAGGAAGTTTGGCAACAGATGTTAGCCCAGGGCTCATCTTCCTCAGCAAAAAGAGGAGGATTGGCAACAGATATTAGCTCAGGGCTAATCTTCCTCACCAATTAAAAAACAAAAAAAAGCAAAGAAAAATAGGACAAATAATACAAAGTAAAATGGTAACGATGCAACTATATCAACAGTCACAAATAAAGATAAGTTGTCCTAACTCACCAGTCAGAAAGGTTAATAGAAAAAAGTCTAAAGAATATATACCAGACAAATATAGACCAAAAGAATACTAGGGTATCTATATTAATATCAGACAAAACAAACTAATACAAAAAAACCACTATTTGGGATAGCAGGTTCACCAAAAAATGATTAAAATACTTATTTCACCACGAACTGTAACAATTCTAAAATCATATGCCTCTACTACAGTTGCCTCAAAATATATAAAGAAAACAAAAATAAACAATAGAACTACAGAAGAAACTGACAAACCCACCATCATAATGGGACATAGTAACACATTATCTCAATTATTGGCAGGTCAAGCAGACAAATTTAGTACAGACATAAAACATTTGAACAACACAGTTAAGCTAAATTAATAGAAATATATAGAACCCTGCACTCAAGAAGTGGAGAGCATATATTCTTAAGCATATACATAATATTTATGACAGTCCGAGAGCCATTAAAAAATTTACTATACACCAAGACATAAACCAAGTTTCAACTGATTTCAAATTGGTATCATAGTCAATATTCTTTCTCAGTTCATGGCACAAATAAACTAGATATCAATAACAAATGGATAAATTTTAAAATCCCAACACCAGAAATTTAGAGATGTATTTGTAAATAAGTAATGCGTAAAACAATAATGGAAATTCAAGAATTCTTAGAACTGAAGGATAAAAACGTTACACATTAAAATGTGAGGGTTACAGTAAAAGCAGTACTTAGAGGGGAAAGATAGCTTTAAAAATGCTTATTTTTTAAAAAGGTAGAAAATAATAAGCCAAGTACCTAACTGAAATAGTTGGGAAAAGAAGAGTAGAATAAACCCTCCAAAATGGAGAAAAATTGAAATAAGAGCCAAAATTAATGAAATCAAAACTAAACATATACTAGAGAGGATTAACAAAACTAAAAATGGGTTTTTAATAAAAAAATACACCACGGGCAAGATTGATCAAGAATAAAAGAAGGAAGCCACAAACACTAGACATAAAGAAGAGAACATAACCATAGAGATTTCACATGATTAAAGATACAATGAACTCTATGCCAAGAAATTTGAAAATAAATTCTTATTTTTCTCCCATGGAGAAGCCAGTTTTCCCAGCACTATTTATTGAATGGCCCATTCTTTCACCATTGATTAGTAATGGCTCCTCTGTCACATATCTAGTTTCCCTATATATTTGGTTCTACTTCTAGGTTCTCTGTTTGACCCCAATGGCCTATTTGTCTATACATAGGCGGACACACAGAGTTTTTGTTATTGCTTTACACTAAGCATTCATATCTGACAAAACAAATTCTCTCAAATACTGCGTAGCTCACTCTCTCATGTCTTTCAAGTCTCTACACAATGATCAACTTCTCAGTGGGGACATCTCTATACCTCTCTTTTTAGAAACTACAGTCTCCACGCCTACCCCTCAAAACTCCATATCCCCTATTTCAGCATTATTTTTCTCTATAGCACTTAGCACCATCTAACATATTTTATGTTATTTTTGGTAAACTTTTCATTGAAGTTGGTAACCATCATAGGGAAAACTGTGCAAAGCATAAGGGTATATAATAGCTCAGTAAATTTTCATAAAATGAACACACTCACATAACTGGCACCCTCATCAATAAACAAGATGGTACCAGCACTGCATCTTGCCCACTCTGGTCATGACCACTCCAAACAGTCTGCACCCCCAAGAGTAAGCAGTATCCTGACTTTCGAACTTTATACAAATGGAATCATAAACACAGTATCTGTTTTCTCTCTGTGTTTATTGTCTTTCTCCCCAACTAGAATATAAGCTCTGCTGAGGCAGAGATTTTTAGCTCTTTTGTTCAATACTGAATCTCTAGCCCTCAAACATAAAGAGACCAGCACATAGTCAAAAAATTCATTCATTCAACAAAATTGGAGCACAAGGTTCCTTGTCTTGATCCTTAACTGTTTCAGAATAATTTTATTATTAGTTTGTCAAATTCTATGAAAAAACGCTTTGGAACTCAATTTATAGATTAATTTGGAAAAAAACTGTCATTTCTATGCTATTGAAATTTCTATCCATGAGCATGGTATTTCTCATCATTTATTCAGGTCTTCCTTTATGTCTTGTAGGAATGTTTTGTAATTTTCTCTAATAAAATTCTTGCTCATCTTTTGTTAGTCATTTCTAGACATCACTCACTAAAGCAAGAAAAATAATATGGTATCTTTTTCTTTTCTATTATATTTTCTAAGTGATTACTGCTACTGTTTTCAACACTACTAATTTCTGGAATACTATTCCTTATACCTTTTTCTTATCTTAATGCATTAGCTAGGACCACCCACGCCATGTTAAATAGTAGGGGTGATAGTGGGTATGCTTGTCTTACACTTAATTTTTAAAAATTTTTACAGTTTTATTAAAGTATAATTTATAATTGATAATCATCTGTACATATTTTAAGTTTAAAATTTAATAAGTTTTCACATATGTATACTTCCATGAAACCATCACCAAAATTAAGATAACAAACATACCAATCAATCCCCTGCATTGTCCTCGTGCCTCTTTGTAATCCTTCCCTCCCACCTCATCCCCATCTCCAAGCGCTATTGATTTGCCTTCTGTTGCTGTAGATTAGTTTGCATTTTCTAGAATTTTATATACATGGAATCACACAGTATGTATCTTGTTTTGCCTGTTTTTTTTCAGTCAGCATAGTTATTTTGAGCTTCATCTATGTTGTAGCATGTATCAGGAGCTCATTGCTTTATTGCTGAGTCGTATTCCATGTATGATATACCACGATTTGTTTATTCATTCACCTGTTGATGGTCACTTGGGTTGTTTCCTGTCTTTGACTATTTCAGATAAAGCTGTTATGAACATCCATGTGCAAGTCTCTACAAGGCCACATGCTTTCACCTCTCTTGGGTAAATAACCAAGGAGTGGAATCTTATATCTAACTTCAATGGGGACATTTTTAATGTCTCACCATTAAGTATGTTTCATTTTACATTACTGTCCTTATTTTCCTTTGCTTCCATTTCTTCACTCATATTTCATCTTGAATTACATATACATATATTTGTAAACTACTTTAATCCTTTTCAAGGAAAGTCAAGATAAAAACAGCTAAATAAATGTCCTTGACCACTTACTTCTATCTTCTCTACATTTTTCTGTTTCCCTTCATGAGTGAATCAAGTCCACCCTTTCAGTACGCAAGATTTTTATTATTAGAAATAGTATTAGTAATAATAATGATAATAATGTTATTAGCATATTAGTAATAACAGTAGCTAACTTTTTTTGTATTTATTATGCCAGTTATTATGATAAGCACAACATCTGCATTACATAGTTTAACTTACATGACATAAGTAAATTTTATCATTCTTGTTTTACATGAAGAAACTGACATATCTAGAGGTTAAGAAATATTGAAGGTCACAAAGATAGCAAGTGGCAGAGCTAGCTTTTGGTCCAACATCTTTTTTGTATGACAGCCAATGATCTTAGTTACTATGTGATACTTTGCTAAGAGGTTAGCGCCTTCCTAGAAGACATGAATAGTAAGATGCCAACCTGCCATCTCTGAAAGTGAAACTTTTATTTTTCTTTTCTAGGAAGATTGGCCCTGTGCTAACATCTGTTGCCAATCTTCCTCTTTTTCTTTTTTCTCCCCAAAGCCCCAGAACACAGTTGTGTGTCATAGTTGTAGAGTTGTAACTCTTCTATGTGGGACGCCGCCTCAGCATGGCTTTGATAACCAGTGAGTACGTCTGCACCCAGGATCCGAACCAGTGAACCCCGGGCCACCAAAGTGGAACAGGCGAACTTAACCGCTATGCCACCAGGCTGGCCCCGAAAGTGAAACATTTTTTGAAGGGCGATGGGTGGATTAATAAACATTTCTCCTTATATATGTCAATTTGTAAAGCACAGATAACTTTTTTAAAAGATTTAAAAAGTCATTAGGAATAACCTAAACCCTCTGGAAGAATGTGTATCTCACTGTCATCTACCCTCACTGTCTTACCTGCCTGGGTGGGATAGATGATGAAATAATCACTGAATGTAGGCAGCCTCCTCTTCTCTGATATGTCATCAAAGTCCATGGGTTCATCATCCGTTTCGACACCATTATCTCTTCTCTCTGTTTTTTGAGGAATAAAAATACAAATTACAACAATATGCCACTGACACCAGTAACCCTTAATAAAAGTCACAACAAGCTTGTATCTTCACAAGAGAGAAAAATATCCACAAAAGCTATATAAGTCAGATGTTAGTCCCATAGCAACCTGAAATCACATGGATGGTGGACCATCCCTTGGATATTGCATACATCTCTCACAGAACTTGAGGCTCCCCGACCTACCTCATGAAGTTAGCAACTTGGACCCTTCCTTAGCCTAAATTAACTATTCTATCCCAGGTTAAGATTTCCTTCCACCCCTTCCTCCCAGCTCAAAGTCCCTAGTATACTACACGACTAAAGTTACATCAGCTAAGGGTCCTCTAATTTAAAATAAATAAATAATTTTTTTAACTTGCTTTTTTTCTCTCAATCATCAATATGAGAATTTCTTAGAAATAGGACTATTATAAAGAAGTCTCCACTTACCTCCTCTGCAGGCCTGGATTATAAAGATTTTCGGTTTCTCTTGAAGTGCTGGACAATTTTTATTGTTAAACATTTCAAAAATGTCTTCCAGGCTGACTCTTTCATCATCTTTCATTTTAATAAAGCCTTTTTCTCCATGGGACATGAGAGTAACAAGACAACAGCCAATTTCGTCTTTAATTTCATTCAGTCCATCACGAAATGATGTTATTTTTCCAAGTAACTCCTGTGAAATAGGATAACATATGAAAAAGAACTGGAGGTAGGAAAAATCAGAAATACTAGAGACTGCCCCTTTACAAGGTGATCTGATGAGATGATAAGTATGGAAATACGTATATCTCTAACAGGGGAAGTATAAGGTAAATATTAGTTCCTTACTTTCACTTTCCTTTTGGTTGCTCTCAGAATTCGTAGGATTTCTTCCTGTGCCACTGGTTCTTGTTTGACAAAATTATGAGATTTCTGATTCTCTACCACAAAATACAACAGAATTATAGCTCCCCAAATGGTTAATGTATTTAAATTTTATATTAACTTATTTTATATATAAAAATCACTTTATAAGTAAGCTAGAAATGGAAGGGAATGGAGGAGTCTACCCAATAATATACACCTGCCAGAATCTATGAGGAGATGTCATCAGAATCAAGCCCACTAAAAAGAGAAGCAAGGCAGGACCGGCTGCTTTTTCTGTTCCTATACAAGTTGTAACAAAGATCCTAACCATGTCAATAAAGTAAAAATTAAATGAAGTTCAAATACTGGAAACAAAGAGCCAAAACTCATTATTTACAGATAACACAACTATCTAGAAATATAAAATAATCAATTAAAAACTATTAGAACTACAGATCAGCAACTCGACCAGATACAAAGATCTATAGCTCCCCAATTACCCAGCAATAATCATTTAAACCACATAATGGAAAAAGAAATGTCATACATGGTTACACCAAAACTAAAACAATACCTAGGAATAAACCTGAGAAGAAATGCACATCACCTAAATGAAGAAAATGATAAAAAAAACTTTAGTGAAGAACATAAACAAACCATGACATGCCAATGCTTCTGATAGAGATGACTCAATACTATTAATTTGCCAATTCATTCCCAATTAATCTCAGTTCAATGGCATGTCAATCAAAATGCCAAAAGATTTCTGTGGAGCTTAACTAGATTATTCTCAAGGTCATAGAGAACAAATAATGCTCAAGAATAACCAAGAACATTCAGAAGCAAAAAACAAAAACCAAAACAAACCCAATGAGAGGGGATAGGTCCTATTAGACATCAAAATGTACTACAAAATCATGGTGAATAAAACAGTGATATACCAGCAAAAGTACAAGCAAATATATGAACAGTATATTTGAGAATCCAGAAATTGATCCAAGTATATATAGGAATTTAGAGTTCATGATAAAGGTGGAATTTCAAATATGTGGAGTAAGGATGTATCATTCAATAAATGTTGAGAAGACTGACCATCCATTTGGAAAGAAAGTTAGACCTCCTACCCCACACAGTTCCAAAAATAAAATTCCAGAGAGTAAAAAGTAAACCTTAAACTATAAAAAATTACAGAAAAATAATTTAAAAATTTTAAAATTGGGAAGGCATGGGGTCTAATCAAGACATAAACCAAGAAGCCGATAAACAGAAAGATTGACAAGTTTACTCACAAAAATTAAAAGACTTCCATATGACTTAAGACAACAAAAGTAAAAAAGCAAGTAACAGGGTAAGAGAAAAATATCTGTGCTATATTTGTAAATGAATAATGTCCAGGAAAATAACTACAGAATAAGAACAAGAAAAAGAAAATCCAGTAGGAAAAAGGGCAAAGGATACAAACAGGTAATTTATACAGAAGGAAAAAAATGCCAAAGGATGTTCAACCAAACTAATACAGTTGTGCATCGCTTAATGATGGGGATACAGTCTGAGAAATGCATCATTAGGTGATTTCATCATTGTGCGAACATCATAGAGTGTACTCAGACAAACCTAGATGGTATAGCCTACTACACACCTAGGCTACATGGTACTAATGTTATGGGACCACCGTTATATATGCAGTCTGTTGTTGACTGACACATCGTTTTGCAGAGCATGACTACAATCTGCAAAATGAAACTTAAAACAGCAAAATAGTTTTGCCGGTAAGATTACTGAATATATACAAATAAATGTGGACAGGATGTAAGAGAAAGAGCCTACTTCCTGACCCTTAGGGGAATAAATCAAAAGAACATTGGCAATATCTTCCATCTGAATGGAAAGGACTGGATTAAAAATCACGTATTGTGGAAGAGATTCTGGTACAATCCTTGGGAAGAACGAAGGAGTCTATTTTTAGCTTTGAAATAATAAAACCTAACTTTACTGAGCACTTACTATAAGCCAGCTAACATTCTGAGATCTTTTATACGTAGCAGCTCACTTCATCCTCACAACAGCCTTACAAGACAAGTTACTATCATCACTCCCATTTTAGAGATAAGAAAGTAGTCAATTTAAGGCAGGGTTTCTAAAACTATTGCACTATTGACATTTGGGGCGAGATAATTCCTTGCTGTAGGGGCTGTCTTGGGCATTGTAGGAGCATCCCTGGCTTCTACGCACTAGATGCCAGCAGCACCCTCTAGTTGTGACAACCAAAAATGTCTCCAGACACTGCCAAATGTCCTCTGGGGGACCAAATTACCCTAGGTTGAGAACCAGATTTAAGGTAACAACTAGTAAAAGACAGGATTCCAACTCTGGCAGTCCATGCTGCACTCATAGCCCTTCTGCTAAGCTGTTCCTTGATATTCATTAGCAATGACTCCAGACATCTATGAAGGGCCTTCCTATGTTATTGTCCCCATATAAGGGCAGGTGTAGGCCATGACTCAACTAGGGTCAAAGAGGTCAAACTGGAGTTCCCACCCAACCAGCACCACCACTCTTCCACCTTATTTTTTTCTGTGTCATCTAGTTAAGTCACAATGCAATTCTACCCAGGGCTCTCAGACCCCCTTCACCCCTCCCACAGTTCCAAGTGAGTCCCACAAGGACTCAAAGTCCCTGGGCTCTGATGCTGCTGGAATTCCTCTGGCCTGACCTCTCAAAGCTGCTTCCTTGGTCTTCCCTGCTCCCAAATGCTCTGGACCTTGCCCACCGTGGACTCACGGCTTGTCCTCGGGCCTCCTTGCCTGTCTTGCTTAGGACACCATCTTGGGTTCCCTTCCCTCTTCAACTGCAGCCCTAGCCAGGAATGGAGCCCCAGAGGTCCCTGCTTGACTGGAAGGGGAGCTGGGGTATCACACACTGAAGATCACAAAAGCATCAAGAATTTCATCAGGACATACATGTCATTGCTCAGCAGGTCCTGGTTCTCGCCAGGTACTAAAACCCAATTTGAAAAAAAAGAAAAAGGAAAGTTATAAAATCCAAGTTATAATTTTTCATTTCTGATTTTAATTTGTTACCATTTTGTCAGGATCGATGCAGGATGTATGTTCGAACTGGCACTGACCAAGCCATTCCTTCATCAGCACGATGTCCCGGTGAGCCCCGGGCCTGTTCCTCTTCACACACATGAGGAAAGCCTTCCGTCTGCCACTCAGGTCATAACGGTCCTGTTTGCCAGGAAAGCCAAGAAACAATATTCAAACCAAACCAAGCTCAGAAATCCAAATATGCCATATATATGAAACAACGAGTTTTTTCTGGTATTAATGGTGAGGTTTTCCAGTTCAAATCAGGGGAACAACACTGACTGCCTCTCTTATCAGTTCTGGAAGGGGAGTAGGGGGAAACCATGACTTGATTTATAATTCTTTCAAACACCTTTCTCAGACTAGGACTAATAGGCCAATCTCATTTTTAAATTCCTATATATAGCCATAACTACTGGTTTAAGGAAATACAGCAAATAGAGGAAAATGGTGAATGACAACATGGGCTGCAGTCAGCAAATCCAGACTATGAGACATGCTACAGGACACATAACCTGGTTTCTTCAACAAATAAACAAGAAAAAGGTTAAAGAAGGGAGAAGTATCATAAATTCAGAGTCTTAAGAGACAAACTAATCAAATGTCATTGTGTAGACCTTGTTTGAATCAGAATCCTGATTCAAACAAACCAACTGTAAAAGACATAGGAACCAGCCAAGAAAATCTGAATACTAACTGCATCTTTGCCAAGATTAAGGAACTTGTTTTTAGGTAAAATAATGGTATTGTGGTTATGTTTTGAAAAAAGTCTTTCTCAGAGATACATATCAAAATATTTGTAGATAAAAGTGATCTGATATCTGGATTTGCTTTAAAATAATTGGGAGAGGGGAGCAGATGAAACAAGATTGGTCATATGTTGCTAATTGTTGAAGCAGGGTGATAACAGTTGGGCTGGAGTTTGGGAGATTCATTTTTCTATTCTACTTTAGTATTTGTTTAAAATTTCCATAATTAAAACTTAAAAAAAAAAATCTTGCAGCCAGCAATTTATGTAGTTGCCCAAGGCCATACAATCGTCATTTAACCCCCAGTGCCTCACCCTCTTTGACTTGTAAATTGGAGATAAAAAAAAGGCCTACCTCATTTGATTAATGTATGCACCGTGGTTTTAACTGGCTAATGTTTATCTTTTAGTATTATAACGATCTGAACACTTGAGACAACCACAGAGATAGCGCCCTTTAACCAAACAGGACCAGCACAAAAAAAGGTTCAAACGGTGGCTAAATATTATCTTTACTAACCGGTGTGTAGTGTTGGAGTAAGAGAGAAAATATTTACCATTTCACCTTCCACACAGTCATAGCTTCTCTTTAGAATCTTGCTTGGAATCACTGGATGAATTTTCATGAAAAGAGAATAAAAGAGAAAAAGAGCATTACTTTTTTTTCTCATTTTTTTCTTTCTAATCAATATCTGCTGTTGTGCCTGTTAACAGGAAGTCCTCCCAAGGAATTCAGTTGCCTCTTAGGTTTTTGGGTCAGCAGGTTCAATCTCACTTTAGAACAGGTTCCTTGGATTATGAACACCCTCTCTCAAAGTCATGAAGTGGGAAACTTCAAACAGAATTCCCTTAGATCCCAGTCAGGTTCAAGGGCAGAAAGACCCAGGCCAGGGATAAAAAGGACAAGGAGTAACTAACATCACTGCATATGCATTTCCTGAAGAGGAGACCATGGCACCAATAAAGGGAAAGATGAAGTAAAGGACTATACTTCTTCTATTTAACATAATCTCTTAGCATTCAATTCAAATATTTATTGGGTACCTACAGTGTGCAGTCATGATATTGTGTAGTTTGGATGATTCTGGAAAAAAAACCACTTTGCCAACAGCAAGAGACTCACAGTCTAAAGGGGTGATAATAAAAGAGTGATACATAAACAAGGAAGTCCTGAGGGACAAGGAGAGAAGTGCTGCGCAGGTGCAGTAAAGGGAGAATCAAGGGCTCCATGGGGCCGGATTCTGCCTACAGGCCAGGTTTTGTGGGCGATTACAGTTGTCATCCATTACAAATCTAAGAAAAATCAGCAACATGCCTCAAAACTCAACCAGATCATAAGCATGCTGAGGACAGAGACCAGCGACGGTACATTTAGTGTCTACCTCAATGCCCCGCATACAAGGGCTGCTTCCTCTCTCTCTCCACTCTCCCTCTCTCACACTCTCTCACACACACTCACACACACATTCATACACACACATTTATTAAATTTAGCGGGGAAAGCCCTAACCTTCCTCAACCTGTTCCATACTGCATTTCTTGATCGTAAGCCACATCTTCCCAGATTTACGGCAAATGGTCTAACGGCGTGCAAGAAGAGGGGCCCCACCCCCACTGCCAATCAACATACCCACTGGAGATGTAGCAGTGGGGATTCCAACACTGGGTTTCTCACTGCATCGTCTAAAAACTTCCCACATCATAATCACTTGGAGGTACTTGTTGAAAATGCATCTCAGGCCTGCTGAGTCAATCTGATTGCTGAGCCCACCCCAAAAGGAACTGGTAGATCCAGGGGGCTACTCATCGACTGGTCACTCGGATTCCGTGCCTGGGAAGGCGACTCTCCTGCCCGCTTACCCCCGGGCTCCCCCCTCCCGCCGCGCGTTCACTTGGTCCCTCGACGCCCGCACCCTCCTTCCTCTGCTCCTCCTCCCCCAGCCAAGCCCCGTCCCCCGCCGCTAATCTGGGCGCCGGGCCGCCCCTCAGGACCTGCCTGGGAATCCCCGGGGCGGAAGGGCCAAACCGCGCTCTCACCCAAGCCCCCTCCCCCAAGTTGTCCCCCACAATGTCCGGGAATGCCCTGGCACCCGGCAGTCCGCGCGCTCACCGATGCCGCCTCCCCCCAGTTGTCCCCCGCAATGTCTGGGAATGCCCGGGCACGGAGCAGTCGCGCGCTCACACATGCCCCCTCCCCCTAGTTGTCCCCGCCAATGTCCGGGAATGCCCGGGCACGGGGCAGTCCCCGCGCTCACCCGGGCCGTCGTCCTCAGCGGCCGCAGCGGCGGCGTTCTGCCAGCTGGCCAGCAGGTCGGCGCGGCGTAGCTGCTCCAGCACCTTGGCGAGGACGCGCGGCGCGGCCCTCAGGTAGTAGTGCTTGGCGAGGAGGCGAGCCAGCCCCGACGCGCTGCCGCCCTCCAGCTCCAGCTGCAGCGGGCTCACGCGCGGCTCCTCGTCCACTGTCTTGAGGATGACGCGGAAGCTGCGCAGCTCTTGCGGGGACAGCACGTCCAGAGTCTCCTGCAAGCGGCTCTGCAACTCCTCCATGGCTGGCGTGATCTTCGCAGGCACCTGGAGGCCGTCGGACCCCGAGCGCCGGCCGCCCCCCATGCTGCCCTCCATTGTCACCTAGCGATGCTGAAGCGCCCGAGCCTGAGGGACCAACCCAAGGAGGTCTCAACCCTGCGCGCCGCACACGCCTCCCGCTTCTCCTCTTTGTTTTGAAAACCGGAGGCGTTTCCGCTTGTCTGCTGGCAGGCAGGCTGCTGCGCCTGGCTGCTCCCGCCTTTCGTCCCCTCGGGCCCCGCCCCCGCCCCGAGCCACGCCCCGCATCCGAGCCTCCGCGTTCCCGCTACCGCTCCCGCTCCCGCCCCCGACCCCGCCGCATCCCAGAGGCTCTGCTCTCCCTGCCATAGAAACCCGCTCCAGTTTAACCCCTGGAGCCCGGGTCGGGAGAGCTGAGTGGTGAATCTGGCCCTGCAGGGCTCCTCCGTGGTGCTCAGCCTTGCCTGCGCGTTAGCATCACCTGGGGAACTTTTAAAACTCTTGGTGCCCAGGCCACAATCTAAGCTGATTACAGTAGAATCTCTGGGTGGCAGACCCAGGCATCAGTTAAGCTCTCCAGATGATTCCAATGTGCAGGCAAGTTTGAGAACCACTGATCTTAGACTCCAGAGTGTTTATCAGCTACCCAAGCCAGCGGTTCCCAAGGAGCGGGAAGAACTTGGAAGCTGAAATAAGACCTAGAGGTTGTTGCATTGAGCCAGCTTTTTCTGTAGAGGGCATACTGACAAAAGCTGAGATTTGAGAATTTGATGTCAGCAATAAGTTAGAAATGCACACTGCTCAGCCTGGGGGGCGTGGAAGGGGCGTTGCCTTGCTGAGCAAATCTCAGCTTTGCGACCCCCACCCCCCCCCCGTTATTATTGCTAGATTCCCTGACTTGATTGAGCCCTCAGGAACTGACTCGAATCGTGGTTTGTCTCAGACTCACCCTTTCGAACAGCTGATGAAAGAATCTCAGGACCTCCTTTGAATCCTGAGTCAAATAAACCAACTGTAAAAAATCATTTTTGAGACAATCAGGGAAATGTGACTATGGGCTGGGTATTGGATGATATGCAAAAAATTTTACTTTTTCGCCATGGGAAAACAACATTGTAGTTATGTTAGAGAAATGTCCATCATTTTTAGAGATGCATATTAAGTGACGAAGGGTGAAATGGTGTGAGGTCTGAGATCTGCTTTTAAAAGCTTCATAAAGGAAAGAAAAAAGTTGGGGGAGAAGAAAGACAAGCAAGAGGGACAAAATCCTGATAATTGTTCCACCTGGGTGATGTGACTGAAGGGCCAATGTACCATGTGCTCTACTCTCCTGATTGTTTGAAAAATTTCATAACATATTTTTGTAAATTGAGTATAACGGCAGTTTCAAAGCTTTGCTTCTGTCCTCTTTTGGCTCATGCTTTACTAAGCCTTATCTCTAGTCCCCAGATGACTATTTCCTCCCACAAAGCCCCGCCACTAAGTAATTTGCTTTGTCTGAGGCAGCCAAAATGAATCAATCAAAAAAAAAAAAAGGGGCACTGGGTAATGTTCCCAAAGCCAGCTGAAGCTCACTAGCCACTTCCTTCTGAACTGTAATACTCATACACGTGGGAGACGGCAGGAGAGGAAGAAAAAATTCTTGGGACTTGGCAAATGCAGACTCCAGGGCCACTTGCCTCTGGAGTCAGAGTTCACAAAGGCAAATTTCAGTTTTACCCCATGTTTAGAGAAAATTAGACTATTTCTCCAAATCTTATGATTATTTACCCCAAAAAGAACAAATGAGGGGCACAGAAGGGGACTGTAGTGGCCAAAATTCACCAACCAAGTATAAGGTGAGCAAATCTGTGTTGGGTGAAGCCTACACCTCTGGGCCTCATCTCTGTCCCCCCACCCCCAGGCCCTCCCCCTGGGCCATCACTGGCATTAGTCTCCCACTGACCAAGATGAGGGTCAAAGGAGACTGAAGAGGCCCTGAGAAAGGACCTGAATACCCTGCCTCAGAGTCTAATTCTTAGGACACAGCTACTTCATCCATTGTCTGTGTAACCTGCCTTCCCTCACTCCTGGCCCAGCACACCATTTCCAGTGCTCAGTGCTCCCCTGCTTTCCCCAGCACAAGGCCTCACACATATGTCACCAAGCACTGGTAGCTTGGGTGCCACTATGAGATTAGGATCCTTTGTCCTCTCCCATACTCCTCCCCATATTATTTTGAATAGGGCATTTTAACCTAAAACCTAAAGTATAAACTTAATTTAAACTTACAAATCATTAAACTTAATGTGTGTCATAGGTTAACTTGTGTCCCCCATAAAGATATGTTGGAATCCTAACCCCCAGTTCCTATGAATGTGACCTCATTTGGAAATAGGGGTCTTTACAAATGTAATCAAGTTAAGATGAGGTCATTCTGGAGTAGGATGGGCCCTAATCCAACGACTAGTGTCTTTAAAAGAAGACAGAAATTTGGACACAGAGAGACAGACACTTGGGGGAGAGGCACTGTGAAGATAGAGGCAGAGATTCGAGTGATGAATGCCAAGAATTGCCAGGTTCCACCAGAAGCTGGAAGAGACAAGGAACTTCAAAGAGAGTATGGCCCTGGTGACACCTTGATTTCAGACTTGTAGGCTCCAGAACTGTGAGAGAATAAATTTCTGTTGTTAGAAGCCACCCAGTGTGTGGTAATTTGCTGTGGCAGCCCTAGGAAACTAACACAGTGTGCCAGAAACATTTGTTCATTTAACCCTACCACCCCGCAGGAGGTAGGAAATGTTACTAACCCCATTTCCCTGGCACAATTTCAAATGTGTCTAAGTAAATGGAGAGCCAGACTTTCAATCTGGGCCCCCTGTTAAGAACAGCCCATGTTCTTAACCAGGAGACAAAACCTCCCCCTTCTGCTGTTTTGGATAAAATAATGGCCCTTTCCTAGGTTTGAAAATTGACAGAAAAACTTGTGTACTAACTAGAATAGCTATAACAAATAAAACAGACAATAACAAGTGTTGAGGAGGGTGTGGGGAAATCAGAACCATCATACACTCCTGGTGGGAACGTAAAATGGTGTAGCCCCTTTGAAAAACAGTCTGGTAGTTTCTCGAATGTTTAAACATAGTTACCACACGATCCAGCAATTCCATTCCTAGGCATATATGCAAGAGAAATGAAAATATATGTCCCCAAAACACTTGTACATGAATGCTCATGGTGGCATTATTCATAAGAGCTAAAAAGTGGAAACAATTCAAATATTCGTCAATTTATGAATGGATAAATAAAATATGGTATAGGCATACGATACAATATTATCAGGCCATTAAAAATAAAAGGAAAAAGTATTGAACATTCCACATCATGGATGAACCTCAAAAACATTATGCTAAAGAAGCTGGAAACAAGAGACTATATATTGTGTGACTCCATTTACAGGAAGTGTACAGAAAAGGCCAATTTATAGAGACAGAAAGCAGATCAGTGGCTGCCTGGGGCTTGGAACGAGGATTAATTGCAAATAAGAGAACTTTTGGGGGATGAATGTGTTCTAAACTGATTTATAGTGATGGTTGCACCACTCAGTAAACTTACTAAAAATCATTGAATTGTATATCTGAAATCGGTGAATTGTATGATGTGTAAAATAAAGCTGTTTTAAAAATTTTTAGGTTTTAGAATCCATATAGGTCAAGAGCCAGCCACCTTAGACTATTTTGTTATTTCAGAACAGAGTGATGACGCTAGGTATTCCAAAGTTTTCAATGATAAAGTGCTTCACTTTATTTATCTGAACTTTTGCTGCAGAAAAATGCCAGAACAACTTAGAGTTGAAACAGTGCTGGGGCCAAGATCAAAAAATTTAATTTGGACACTTAAGAGGCTAGGAAGCCACTGTCCCCCCTTCTCCAGAGCCTCTGAGAAGTTGATTAGGAACCAGTTAAGTAGTGACATCTTATCTTCCTCATCCTCACATCACCTCAGATGCAGACTTCAGCCTGGTAACAGTCACTCCTTTCTCTGAAGATCCAGTGTTCCCTGCTGGAGCTCCTCGGCCACAGCAGGCAGCCCACAGCTCTGGCTCTGTGATTCCTTGCCCAGGAACAGACCCAAAGAGGCACCGTGGTACAGGGGGGTGGCTGAGGTGGAGCCACCTGGCAGGGCTCTCTCTGGAAATGCCTTTTCAAGTAGCCTTGCAGGGTATGCAAACCCTTCTCCTAACTCCCCAAAGTGCTGTGTGTATCAGTTGACTCCTTTTTGGGGAGATTCTGAAGGCTTGAGTCAGGCTCATCTATTCTCTACTTGAACTGAGTAACAGGGTGACGTATCTGCCTAGCTTTCCAGATAGGACTTCATCTCACTTCAGGATCGTGAGAGGAGGCAGCCTATGGCCCAAACCAGGCAGGGCAACGGATCCCATCTTTTCCCAGTTCCCTCTGGGAAGGTAATGGGTCAGGACTTCAGGCCCATCTTGGCCATCATCTCCTCATAGACTGTCCACGCCATGGCTGCCATCAGAGTTCTGCGGAGGGCCCGGGGGACACCACCTTGGAAGAAGCCACGCAGCCCATAGTCCTATGAGGAAAATGAACGTCAAAACTCTGGAAGCAAAGTAGCAATGCAATTATACACCTGGCATGAGAGTGAGGGTCTCTCTCTGTTACCCCATTTTTAAGACTCAGTTTTTAGACTTTTATAAAGAATGCCAAAACTATGAATAATGGGTCCAAGGAGACAATGAACTTAAAAAAAATTTTTTGCATAGTTGCTAAGCTATGGCTTGCTCTATTCAGGGGAATTTATTTCTTAGCTGAAAATCTTTATGCAGGGTTGCTGCGTACAGTTGTACAGCTTGTACAGTGCACAGAAGCATCAAGCCCCCAGGTGGCAGCTGAAATCCAGACCAAGGTCTGCTTGCCAAGCTGTGGGCCCTGGCTCCAGGCTGCAGGAAAAGGTGACTTTTTGGCAATTTGTATGCCTGGAGGGAGCAACGTTTTGTAATTCATTGTATGTTCTTCGTCGCGTTATATAAGAATTAAAGACAAAACACCTCTTATCCCTCCCTCATAATTTGGATTGATTTGTTCATTTCTATTGTTATCATTCCTGACATTTTCATGTATACTGAAGAATGTATTTTCAAACTTTGTGATTTTAGGTACAGAGAATAAGAAAGCAGGCAACCTAAGCAGTGTGAGGAATCTGATCCAATTCACAAATGTCTGCTTAGATCTAGAGTGAGACAG